TCTCATGTCAAAACCAAAGCGCAGGAGATGGCCGAAAGACATGTCCAGCAAAATAGACTCGTCAAGTGACTCAGAAAATCGCTGCCAATTTCTTGGGTTTAATCATGTTTGCAGAGGAAACCCACAATACATGTCCGCTTCGCACCGAAAGATCAACCGCGTCTCTCATGCCCAAGGAGCTATAAGGCTTGTCTAATATGTATGAATCTTCGGAGCTTGTCTGACGACCGTGCGTCGTTATAAGTGGACTGGTAGAAATACCCTTGAAGTTGTTTGGTGGTTTTACCGTTACGGCGATCGAGTATGTGAGGAGGCATCGAGATAGAATTTCGAGATTGAAGACTCTGTCTTCTATGCAATGAACGGATCTACCAAAGCTATCGAAAACACTGGAGTTTCATATGATTAACAGTAGGGATCAAGACATATCTACTATATGTGGAGGGAAAGATAGAGATCTGGCTTGGAGAGCCACAACATGCTGTAGATCTACGATATCAGCTTTGGAAACATGTGTACTTCTTATCGAAGCTTAGTTGCACGTTGGGAAGATGTGAAATGGACCGTCAGCGGATAGCCCTTCCGCAGGTATAAGGTTTTGTTAGAACTTCATGTTAGTCTCGAAAATAAGAAGAAAAGATGTCGAGAAAGAAATGCCGTGGTCCGTGTAGCGTACCTACGAGTCTACCACGTCTACCTATCGTATGCTTCAACGTATGAGCTTACCAATATCACATGTTCCTCTCACCAGCTTGCTCTACCGTATATCTGTTGAAGGCTGGACTGGGTGCTTTGTAAGTCCGTAGGTGCCGAGTCGAAGAGATTGTCAAACTTGATGCTAAAGTTACGATCATCACCTGCCCAGCTGCCCTACCCTCTCCCAACTACATTCCGACCCCGCAAACTCCGCAATGGCCGCATTGTCCATTGTCTATTGTCCACTCAGAATTGACTTTCTCATGTCAAACTGTACTGGTAGTAGGCTCGTAGGCTCATGGCAGCTGAGAGTCAAAAGTTTATTCGATCGGACTCCAAATCGATAGAGACGCCGACACAGAGGGTTTGATCTGGAACTCAAAATTGTGTTTGTTTCAATCCGTGCCAATCTGCACGGGTAGAGGGACATTTACGCGTCCCCAAGACGAGGCAGTGCAATACAGGAGTACCTATTTGGCTCAAGTTTCTGCCTTCGTGAATATGACTGCGCACATGTTCAAGAGTGGTAAGTCAATATGCTATGCCGCGTGTTACTTAGGGGTGTTGTGATGACCATACTCTGATCATGGCACGCTTGACCCGTGAGAAGCCTACAAGTTCATTACAGGCACGCGATCTCTGGTGCTCCCTGCGATATTAACTCTTGATTAGAATGGTGGCTGAAGACGGCTATTTTCCGTTTTCCATGTCTCCTTGGGTATCTTCCGGATTGCTAAATGTAATGTTGACATGCGGAAAGAGCCTTCCTTGGTTTGTTTTGTCGAAAAGGCAGTTGAGATCTCGCGTTTGGAAACAATCTCGATTCCCCTATCTCACACAGGGAAGAGTGTTGACTATTCAATGGACTAGTCTTACCTCTATGACCATTGATTAGTTATAGACTACTGATATGTGTATGCGAATACATAGCTGTGGGCTGTGGTGGCCTGGCCTTCAACCCTGTGGTACATTGAAGTTTTCAAGACTGTTTGAGCTTCTTCATTGATTGGAGCCATAGCCATCACGATCTCATTCATTATGACGACTTCATTAAATCTCAAATCATTTTTCTTCCTTCCTCAACGGCGCTCGTCATACCTTTCAGAGTTGGTAAACCTCAGAACTATCTCCGTCTTAAGTCCTCTCGACGCCCGGCTATTGACTGGTTGCTTTGACATCCAGTACCTAGTTAGGTATAAAATTTCAAATCTTCCTCGGGAACCCTTTCATGGCTACCTCGACCTTGAAGTCTCTTCTAAAGTTAACCTTAGCCTTCGATAACTTTCCTTGCATCGCAGCTCGGTATCAACTGCTCCACATGTCAACCACTATCTCGGTATCTCCTCCGAAGTTTCAAAAAACCTTGATTAGCAATGGTTACATGCTATCAGAAAATTTAGAAGCTCTGCTCTATCATCATTTTCATTTAGACGCCGCAATGACTCAGAGACTAAAAGATCTGGACCATTTATGATGCGATTTTTGCATAGGTACATCAAAACATCGATGCCTCGAAAAAGCCAGAACCTCAAATCAATGTCAAAGTAACGCTCGTCAATTTATCCCGTTCTATCCGTTCGAATGCCTTCATACGAAACTCTTTTCACGCTAAACACGCCCTTTCACATTGTTAAGCCGAGAATCCCTTAGGATTGAATCCGACATGCATTCTCTAAATGTGTTGTTCCTGTACGAGATAATTACTTTTTTGGAAGCATTTTCACGCATGAAAAAGGTCATTGACTATCCACATTTTATGCACATTGGTGAACGCCAAAGCCCATCTCTTGAAAACACTTATATCTCGATACCTACTTTATTATACATCAAGCTTTACTCAGAACGAACATGATTAACACAGAGCATATATTAGATGTAAAAAATCATACACATATTTATTCGATGTTCAACTCGGAATATCGATTACTTGATATGATGTTAAACATTGAAATCGTGCTTGGTTTCGTGTACCAAATTCCTTGTCCTGCTGGAGCCTGTGGATAATCTAGAAGTCAAGTGACTTGAATCTAGAACCTTCTTTTTCTTTGGAAATTGTGGGGGGGCTGGGGATCTTTTCCCCTGTGGATGTTTTGGATCGCAACAAAACAAAAGGAGACACGATACCATTGTCACAGAAACGACGATTCTCCTTTACAGAAGATTGTTTCCTCGAATCGAAATTCGTTCTAGAAGTCTAGATTTTGATTAACTGCCCACATATCTCGTTCTGAGAAGAGAGACAATCTACAAACGATCGGGCCGGAAATTAAGGAAAACTTCCACGATGTATCTATCTGTCTTCTGGAATTCTCCGATGCCGATGTGGATAAGTCACAGGTGCGATATTTAAAGAACCAAAAATCTAGAAGTTTGTTTATGTAACTCCTTGGGGATGCAGCAGAAGGCCCCGAGTGGGGTTAAGATCGTCGAAATCTAGAACTTGCTCCTTTCTACCATACTCGTATCATTTGGCGTATCAGAATTGTGATGATCTACGAACCATGATCGTCAGGTAAATTGAAGGTCAGTTGTAAGGACACATACTCAGCAATGGACTTTGATGCTGTTTGTTCTTAGTATCGAAGGGGTTTCCGCACCTTGGCTCCCCTTAATACTAGTTCTTCTCAATCATGTGCTTGAGTCTCAGATATACCATGGATTGTAATCAAATCATACGCTGACAATGGACCCTTGGCTTATTGACAGTATTTTGTGTACTGTTACTAAATTTGCTTCATCGTCAGAAGATGGTAGCATGGACTTCTCCTTCTCACACGCTCTAGGGACACGACGCGATGCAACGGCTTTCAGCAATAGATCTCGATTGGGGGTATTATGCTGTGTCCGCAACTGATAGATCTGTCGCAGCATCGTCGCTCTGGTAGTGCGAATTACTCGAGGAGGTGGGGTCATAATGTTGACGGACAGATGCAGATCACCAGTACGAATGGGAGAGATTGGCTTCAGCTTGGAGGTCGCAGGTGAAATAGCAGTGCTCTTTAGAAGCTTCGGTGGTGGTGTTACTTCTGTAGATGCATCTCGTAGTTTATGTATCTTCACAGGCAAACGGTACAATTGTGTCTTATTCAGTCGTAGATAATTGGCGGGATGAGGTGATGATAGACGGATGGGTTGGTTTCTCCCAGGTGGTATAGGCTTCGCTTCTTTTGCATCCTTCTCTCTGGCTGTCTTGCGCTTTCAGACATCCTGTGAAAGCTCTTGGTGGTTATTTCCGACCTTAACAGATTTGTCCTCTTGGTGTTTCTGATCAGGCATTGGTTTCTTGAGTACATGAGTTGCAATCTTTCGGTGAGGTTGCTGTAGTTTTGGCAGTACTCGGGAGGTGAGATTTGATATACTACATACATGTAGATGTACTGTAGCTGGCATTCTTCTATTTGTTCATTTGTTTCTCTCTTTGAATATTTCCTTGACGAGATTTGGTAGCTTTTCGAGGACATGCTTTGCCTGAGCTCTATAACCTGGGGTTAGTGAGTTGCTAGATGATTCGAACAATGCTTCTTGAGTGCTGTGTCGTCTCCAAACTGTTCATGAACCTCTATTTTTCGTACAGGACACTTTGAAATATCGATCTATTGTGATACACGTGCTCTACACCAAGTACCCTGAATACTTCTGAACATGTCAAGACACTTTCTCTCATATTATCTAGGTATCATAAGTTTCTTGCGGTGTCCCAGAGACTCCTCAGGGCGCTTTATGGGCTTTTGTGTATTGTAAGGACACTTTTACTTCTTTTGCTAGTCAGGACACTTTTCCTCCCTCACCTTCCTATGAAGATGCAGCCGACACTAGCTCGTAAGGCTTCTCTTCTTCAATATGAATGTCTTACGTTCCAGCAGCGACGATCCAGAACACAGCAGCGGCAGCAGTGATACCATCCTCCACTTTTCCCCTCCAACAATTCTTAACAAATTCCTTTTGTTGTTCTACAGTTTTCACCGATTCTAATGGTATATTTTTGTGTATTATTATCATTGCTGGTGAGGGTGATCTGGAGGGATTGGTGTAGATTGGTGGTATCCATTTGGGTGATTGAAGAGTTGGCATTCGAAGTGGAGGCGGAAATGGAGATGAATGACAAAATTCTAAGTTAATGAATCCAAGACAATGGGAATGCAAACGAGAGATACTAGCAAACAAAACTAAACGTAAACAATCACTATATTCTGCTCATAAAGCAACTTCAAATTTGTCACAGAGTAAGCTGATCTGTATTTTGGTCAGACAAGCACATAGTACATTCTTGCAACAATCTATATTCTGAAATTATACACATAGTTCTAACCCTCTAACCAGATAGTAGCAGCAGCAACAGCAGCAATAACGAATCCCGGTCCAGCATGTACAATACCCATTTTGACGCTTCCATTTTTCGCAATAAACACTCCATCCGTTCCCGCAACGATGATCCCCGCCACCATTAGGATGTATGCAACCGATATATAATGTCCAATTCTTGCTAACAATAGTACAGAAGTTCCCGTCGCCAATTGTCGCGTTGCCATCAGTGTTATGTAACTTCTTAGAATGGGTGTATCTTTCTCTTTTGGCACTGTGATTCCAAACGTCTTGCTGAACGCGACTGGATTTAGTAGTGCTTGTATTCCTGTGATTACTGTGGAAGCGCCGAAGATGATCGATATTGATTTGAATATAAGGAGAAGAGTTGAGGTTGCCATTGGAAATTGACTGATTGTTAAATTCAGAGGGTTGGAATGAGGAGGACCTGGTCTTTTAAGAAGGATTATGAGCGTCTGATATTGATATTTACTAATATTTGAACTTTGTTATCTAGCCAAGAGAGCAAAGAGAGGGTAATACTGATTAATCAAACAGGGCAAATTAATTTCAATTGTTAGACAGCCTTGTCAATCTTGTTTACGTCTTTGACAAAGTCAGGATGAAGATATACATCAGCAAACCCATCACATGATACAGCCATTAGCTTCCCCACAATAAACCAGGTAAGTTAATAATCATATTTCCATCAACAAACATTCATTGGTAGATAGCCGAAACGGCCGCTGGTGTCCAAATTTTTCAAATCAGCACCCTCTGGAACAATGGTCGGCCCGAACCCACATGAATTAGAATTCCAGTTACACTTAGCACAAAAGTCCATAGGATACTGGGAAGATATCAAAGAACGACGACCCTCTCTCTCACCAGACGCACCACCACCATCTCCAGAGCCAGAGTCCAAGAAAAAATGGCATCGATTCTTACCATCACTGCGGGGGTTGCTGCAGCAGCATTTCTAGTAAGTTTTCATTCCCATGTCTAGCTCAATGAATGAATCCCAATTCTAACTTCCCTCCAGGGCCGCGCAGGTCTCGTAGCGTTCAGAAAATCACGGGGAGAAGCCGTCGGCGCACTTGGAAAAGCTTTTTATAAAGGTGGATTCGAGCCCAAGATGAACCGCAGAGAGGCTGCGCTCATTCTGCAACTCAGGTGCGTTTAGTCTACCCTCTCTATTCCCAATCCATCGCATAAACTAATTCTATCTTCTCCCCGCAGCGAACGACAACTTACCAAAGAGCGCATACGAAAGAATCACCGTACCCTCATGATGTTGAACCATCCGGATCGAGGCGGTTCACCATATCTAGCTACCAAAGTGAACGAAGCAAAGGAGTTTTTGGAGAAGAACGGTTGATCTTTCTTACTTCCGCACACAATTTTCTTTGGGGGGTTTTGGATGTATTCTCTTTGGATTGAGTTGAAGATTCGTTTACCTCGACTTCCGCATACTTCAATTATTTGCGGACACACGATTTCAGCCCTGCTAGATTGACTATTCCAGTGGGTTCTCGCACATTCTCTCGCGATTTGGCATGATCCGGTTCGGTTCCTATCGATTGTCTCCACTACTGCGATTATTGCTACGATATCAGAGCTTACGGTACGCAAGAACTCATATCCAATTTCAACTGCTCTACTCTGCCCACCTCTTTTCCAACCGAAAAAGCGAGCGACGCCCGCAATCGGATGAACCTTAACCTCGACTTTCTTTTCCTGTACATCAATTTCTTCCGGCCCTTCGATTTCACACGTTGCTGAATCTTCCTTCACAAATCTCCACAAATGGCATTATAGCGAATGGCGTTTACGTTTCATGTTGGCAGCGTGGTGGCGAGGTTGTTTTGTTCATGAATTCTATGATTCATGATGGATTGATGGATAGATGCATGCATGGGTTGCACGGCGTTTCAATGTACAATATCAACGGATTGATATCACAATCTGAAATCTCCTCTTTTAAGTTATATGAGAATATAAAGATGAGTTCATTTCCTTGCTGAGGTAAGGACCTGGATTTTTTGTACCCTCAGATATTTGCTTCTTATCTATTTTGGTCATGATCAATGTGCAAGCAAATGTAGAGCGTTCTCATTGATATACCTAGGTATGTAATGCAAGTAATCCTTGCTGCGCTATGTAGTCCCCGCACCGCTGCATCTTCGATATACTTACTATTCGATGTAAAGAAGCCATGCATAGTCCATCGAGGAAAGAGAATAAAAGAAAAAGAAGAATCACAACGCATTTCAATGCAAAGTTCTTCGCTGTACCTTCGCCCATATCTAAGTAAATCAGATGCAATGCTCAAAGAAAAGTAAAACGAAATATGCATCTCCGCGCATTCGTAAGCCTCCCCACGAGTGATTTGATCGACTGAAGAACAGAAGATAAGATATATATCTTGGACTCTCCAATCCTACAATCCCAAATACAAAGCCAAAGCGGAGAGAAATCGCATTTACCACTTAACCCTACGTGCCCTCTGCTGAGGCCACGGGCTTTCACCAGTACCCTTTGCATCTTCTTTCTGCTGTTCCAGGAGTTGGAGCGATGCATTTGCCGAGAGATCCATGGGGATTTTACCTTGTTCTTGTAGTTCGGCCAGAGTAGCATTTTGCATTTTCTGTTCGAGACCTGTGATTTCGGGGTCGAGAGAGGCAGATGTGGAAGGTTGATCCGTGGAAACGGGGGCAGAGGTTGATGTTTGGGCAGTTGGAACTGGCGCAGCAGCTGCCGTTGTGTTCCGAGTTGTCCATTCTCGACCCCAGTTGCCACCTGTACGGAGTTGAGATGTTGTTTGATCCTCGGGATCGGCCTTGCTATCGGCGTTGAAACCACTACCGGTGCTAGCTGATGACTTGAAATTGGGGCCTAGACGTTTGTATCCAAATTGCTCTGCAGGTACAAGTGCTGGCTCAAGTGCAGAAGCAGAAGTAGAATCCGTCTTGGATTTTCCATTCTTTGTCGGAGTAGCCGGAGGGGTTCCCCATCCTCCCTGAGAACCCTGGGTTTGGCCTTGAGCATTACCGACCCAAGAGGTAGAAGCAGTAGCCCCTGAATTGAAACCATTGGGCCACAATTCATTTGCATCTGTTACCTTCGGTCTTCTACTCGCAGCCTTCTTGGCAGCATCAGCTGCTTTCTTGGCGTTTGCCTGTTCGGGTGTAATACGTTCACCACCGTCGCTACCATCAGAGGACCAGCCTTCTTCACGCTCGTAAGCTAATTCTACTGCTTCTTTGACGGCTCTAATTCATAAATTAGCATACTGATGAAAATCAGGACATGGGACACGGTAAAAAATTGGGATGGGGAGGAAAGACGGTTAAGATGACAGGTAGACATACTCAGAGATTCTATCCTTCTTCAACTTATCTTTCTCCTTTCTTTCAATCTTCCTATCCACCAAATGTTTACAAGCGATCCCCAACATAGCTTGCAAAGTATACACAGCATCATTGCCGGCATTATGTAAATTCCAGGCCGCAATACCAATCTCCGCAAGTATAGCAGATAAACTTCTTGGATTAACTTCCCGCTTTAAAGCTCGCCACATGAGAGTGGTATCGCAACCTTCATGTAGTTTGAGATTATTAATTTCATACCCAATTTGGCGAAGGAAACGAATATCTGCATCAACATCGTGGCCAACAAGGATGATGTTACGTTTCTGATCGGCAAGATCGGGAGATGGAGAAGGGTCGGAAAAAGGGTATTTGAAACAGCTACCAACTACGCGGGGTGCATCATCTCTGTAGATAATCTCGCTCGTGCTGTTGGAAAAGAATTGTCAGTAATATTCAAATGCAAGCAGCAAGGAAGGAAAGCATTGTGTCCGGTAGTTCGTAGTACTAGTAGACTGGATGTAAGATTCCAATAGTGTTCAACTGCTAAGAGTATTTTGGAAAATTCATATAATCTTGATAATGATGAGGAGGTCATCGTCATTAAACTTAGATCCAGACTATGAGAGACCCCAAACCAAAACGTAGCATCATATGAACTGGAAGATCACAGGGATTTGGAACGGAAGAGAGAACATACCCAAATTCAAAACTACCAGCACATCCCTGAACATGTTTTGTGTTATTGAGATGCATGTTCTCCTTGATACGGAAATGTCTTGCACGTATAGCGTTTCTCCAATTTTCGCCGAGCACACCCGGTTCCATATTAGCAATGTCCAGAACATCTAGAGTAGCAATGCCAATTTCCGTAATGATGTTGTTGTTCATTTCATAAGCTTCAACATCTATGCAGACAAAAACGACTGCATCTTCCATCATAAACTTCGTAGGTTTATCAGGATCATAGAAGGTATTGTTATCTGCGGAGTCAGAACCTGTTGGTGTATCATCATCTGATCGTTTACGCAACCCCAGATAACGCTGAACACGCTTAGTAGAGTCCTTCCAAGCTTTTTGTTTGGCAACTCGGTCGACTCGTTGCTTCTCCTTGTTAGCAGCTTTTTTGTTCTTTGCGGTTAGATTCAAAGCTTCAATCTTGGCTCTAAAGGCCGCAAGCGATGTGTCCACAAGTGGCTTTGTGATAGGGGGTTCGCCATCAAGTTTGTAGTATCGAGGTGGGACATTTTCTCTCAACTCATCCGCCATGTTTTTGTTGAGTACTCGACCGAGATATCTGGGATAAGGAGTACCGTCGTTGCTAAAGACTGCGTCAAACGCGCCTGCTGATCCAGAAGGAATAGTAAGATTTGTATTAAGTGATCTGTTGATAACAGCCAGAAAATACTCAACTTGCTTAGTAGGAACAAGGATTATCGGGCTTTGATTCGGATCTTCTCTCAATCTATATAGATAGAAGCTGTCTGGTGTTAGAAAAACGAGAGAGAAAGCTCCTCAACGCCCCTAAATGGCAGGTAACAAGTCCAAGGGCAAAAAAGTCAGAGTTGAGGAATGGGTAAGACTTACAAATCCCATGTTTGCAAATAGCATTTACCTCCGTAGAAGAACTGCTCCGTGACCTGCAAATGTGTTAATATATGAGAGTGTTTGTATGATTGGAGAAGCGGGTGGGTTGAATAAGTCTATTTAGGTATGTAGTGAATGATCTACTCAAGTAGGACAATCGACGATCGACCCCGCAGTAGATTTGACAGCGATAGATACGGGTGGGGGTAGTGCTTGAGTATCTTACCCTTGGTCTGTTTGCATGGCCAACATATCTGTATGCATACTGCGATACGGTCTTCCAGGGGCAAAAGCTCTCTCCCTCCGCAGCAAGCTGACCATACTCCAGTTTCTTGTACTCCTGGAAGTCATTAGGGCCCAGTTCAGGATCTACACCCCAAAATTAGTATTTCTAAACGAAATATTATAGTTTGACATACAAAGTAGTGGCGCCGATGACCCATAGTGATGTTCGTTCATGCCCGCTCGCATTCTGGCCGTGATGTTCTCCCCGTCGTCAAATTCAAGATCCTTATTTTGGTACTGCTCAGGAACATCGCTACGTTGCTTCGATTTTCCAGGTTTCAATTTAGGTGGAGAATCTTCTTCTTCAGAGGTACCATTGTAAATATTGTGTGCTTTAATTGTGAATCCCTCCGGAAGCACGAAGGCATCTTCGCTCTCCGTTTGCGTTTCCTCCATATCAGGATTGTCGTAAACTTCTTGCTGGCCGGTCAATGCTCTGAGACGATCAACCCGATCGTTCATATTGAGTCGGAATTTGAAAATTTGAATTGTTGTTATGATGTCGTTGTAGAAGGTTTAGGGAAGGCGCGTGGAGTTGGGTACGAAGCAGGAACCAAATTTAGCCAGCTTTTTTAGTCTTTTGAGCATTCACTTGTCTGTGAACGAATCTCCGCCTTTGACATTCACTCTGATTCTCTTCTTCAATGCTAGGTACTTCCTTTACACTTGATAGATCTTTGGCAGGAATATGGTGTAAAACACTGTCATGAAGGTGACATTGGCAGTCTGACTACAATTTTCGTCACCTGACTTTAACAAAAGCAAACTTGTGAGAGACTGCCTCAGGATATACTTTGCCAGTTTGTCAAAAAACTGCCGCTTGGGGAATATTCAGGAAGCTTTTCTACCCCGATACAGATAGATAAGTATACCATTCCTTAAAAGTGAGCAATAATTTATTTCATCTCATTCATGAATGAAGTGTGCATGCATCTCATATGAAAATGTTCATCTTTAGCGTGCATTTTCCGAAGCGAGATCATAGCGTCTTTCATCAGAAGAAACCCCTATCATCAATGAATATCTAGCATGGTTGATTCTATTACCAACCGATATCAATTAACCCAATGTTACTCTATATTCCTCACATGTTCTCTTGATATCATGGTGCATAGATCCTCCTCCTGCCATGAATCTCGAGTGAAATGTATATATAAATCTTCCTCTAGGTACCTAGTCATAGTCCCAAAGTATTGGCAAGGATTGAAACTCCTGATTCATCATATTATTACATACGATGATATCGTCTAGCTAAAACTAGCCATCTTCCAGCCAGTTGATTTACTTTTTTGTTGTCTTCTCTAAGAGATGAACAAATATGGCATCATCTACCACCATCTTACTTCCCCTTGAAAGATTAAAATAATATCACAAAAAGTAAGCAATGCACATAGGCATATAACAACTCCTTGGCACCTGTTCGTAAAGCTCGCTTCCAGCTCCCATATCATGTTAAATAACCCAATCCCAGCCATTGCATGCCGAGCAATACCATGCCAACTAAGCCATCATGCCAGATGAGATAGATATCACCCGCTGTGCCGAAACGCCACCAATGCAAAAAATTGAATACCATCCCACCATTATCTTCGCTGATTTTTACCCACCGAACCACCGTACCCCCCATCCGTATCCCGATTTTTCATCAAAGATCGTAAACGTAGCAAACGGCCATCAGAAATTATCTAATGATACCCCAATCCGCAAGTCTCCCTCCACCCGCATCGCAGTCATCTTTTTGCCCTGGCTTTCTACCGAACACATTCCAGAATCTCAGAGTCTCATCGCCTGCACCTGTTACCACAACTCTACCATCAGGACTCATTGCCAGGTACAGTACTCTGTATGTATGACCTGTAAGACTAACGACCTGTTGCATGCTTGGATATTTCCACACTACAATTTGGTTTTGTGAATAACCATGGGTGGATACGATCTCATTCGAATTCTTTGACCATGCAAGATTGCATACTTGAGAGCCAGTATCAACTTCGTTGAGTTTGATACCACGCTTAGTATCATGGAATATAATACGACGATCTGCGGTACCACCTCCAGATGCAAGAAGACCACTCTGATGAGGAGACCAAGCAATAGCTTTGACAGCAGCAGTATGATCACTGAATTTGTAAGTTGGAGTATCAGAAAGCTTATCCCAAACCATTAGTTTGTTATCGTTGCCACCCGATGCGAGTTGTTGATCATCGCAATTCCAACGAAGACCGCAAACTTCTTGCTTATGTCCCACCAGTTTCCTCAACCATTGATCTGGGGCTCGTACATCTCTGTGGTAAATAAGACGATCTCTGGAACCAGAAGTGAGGATGTGATCGTTCCAAGCAAGGGAACCCACTCGAGCTGTATGACCTGTCATTGTTCTCAAACGGCGTACACGTTCTGCATCCCAAATCTGGACGAATCCTTTTCCAGTACCAATGGCAATATGAGAGCCACGTTGAATCCACGAGACACTTGTGACAGTATCATCGTTTAGCTCGCAAAGCTTGTTGACTCTTCCAGTCTGTGAGTTCCACATATACACACAAGATCCAAGTCCTACTCCAAGAACATTGCTGCTTCCCCAATCCACAAGGTTGAGGTAGAAATCATCGGCTAAATCAGGAGCATCTAATACCTTGTATGGTACTTTGCTCACAACTCGAGGTTGCTTGCGTGGACTCATTAGCATCTGCTGGCTATTGAATCGTACAGGAGAGACACTGTAAAGCTCCGATCTAACATCCAGATTGATTCCATGTCTACTCTGAGGTGTCCGCGATGGAGTGGGATGGCCAGCGATATTTGTATGGTGCCGCGGTGACATATACGTAAAGAGATTCTTGTGTGGAGTTGAAGGAGTAAGTGATGCAGGTAGTGATGAGACTGCAGGTGAAATATGGGGTGGGGTGTGGGATCTAGTAGGATCATTGATAGTTGTTGTATGTGATTCAGGTGATAAACTAGTAGGTGTAGGTTGTGGGATTGTGGTATCAAAGAGCTCGGACCTAAGCAAGGTAGAGAATGTCCTATTGGCTTCCTCGGCTGGTTCAAGATTAGCTAACTCCTGGTTTGGAATATTCACTGTTGACCTACTCCTTTGAAAGTGTAGTTCACCATGTGGGGTACGCTTCTTTTGTTTAGAAGGTGTTGCTGGAGACCCCTCATCATGCAGTAAGCTGAAGCTGGCTTGCAAATCTTGCCCTTCCCGGTTTGGAATAAATCTAGACATGAGATGTCAGTACACTGTCTGACAAAGCAATTTCCGGTCTTGCATCATGCGCATATTCAGCTTTGAACTTCGAGAGTTCACATCCTTCATATGAGCAACTTTTGAAAGGTCAAATCAACAAAGATCAAAACCTATTGAAAACAATCGTTTTGCACTTTCCATGTTTCCAACATTTCGCAAACACAAAGCCGCAAGAAAAAAGCCATATCTCTTACCTATCGCCATATACTCGTTGTCGCTTTCTGCTTGGGCTTCCTCCAGGTGTAATATCGCGATGCCTGCCGCCGGAATCCTCGAACTCTCTCAAGAGGGCTTTGCTAAGCGCATTCGAATCGACCGCATCAACATTGGAGCGATATGTTCTGCTTGTATTTCTTGACGAGTTTACGTTCTCTCCCTGTGGTTTCCGTTCCGTCATTCTCTTGCTTGTTGTGGTAGGAGGGGTCGATGAGCGGGGTGGTGTGGATATTGGCGGGGTATTTAAAGAATGTTGAGTCTTTTTGAGATTCGCATGAGATTTGGAGGAGCTATAACCTGGGTCGCCGTTAATCCCCATGATGATTGCCTGGGAAGAAAAAGCAAGCAATTATTGGTTGAAGGAGCTGCTGGGAAGTCTTCCAAATAATGTAACTGGAGACCTAATGCCCATAAAAAAAGCTGCAATTTTCAAGATCAGTCTAAGTCCAGGGTCGAATTGTATCGTCGTTATGCGCAATGCGATCGTCGCGTCGTTGTGGTAATAACTTTCGTATCAATGTTTTGGTCCGGTGGTTCGTTTCCCTGCCACCCATCTGTTGTTGTACTAGGAAAGGTCCGCAATCAATTGTAGGCTCGCTTTGCCGCCGTCCACACGTCCTTGACTAATCGCAAAGTCACGAATTTCGCTCTTGAAAAAAATCCCTTTCAATAACTATATGCTGCTGACTGCTCTCTACAGATGTAGATCGTCGAGGGTTGTGGTTGTTGATAGATGGGGAGTTGATAATATTTTGGAGTCGAGGCGGGAGATGTAACGCTATTCCCTTATCAGCGACACCCTACGCGAACGTTCCGGCTTCCGTAATGACTGAATGTTGTGAATGCTGCTTTTTGTCGCTGTTTGCAAACCATCTGCTGTTGATATTAATGCAAACGATTGAATTGGATGAATCTTGGGATGAAGATTTCCCATGGAGCATGAAGAAGACAAAAAGAAGAAGAAGAAGAAGAAGAATAATAATAATAATGGGTAAACTGTTTTGGGTAGTGAGTTCAAAAAGTGCTATATTGTAAATTTACCAGAATGAATGTAGAGCAGAGTACGATAGAAGATAATAGAATAGAGAATAGAGGAGAGAAGAGAGTTCCCATATCACATTTTCTAACGAATACCCCCTACAGTTGAATGAAATAACGCGACCTTGATCGCTTCCCTCTCATTTACCATCGCGACTACTCCATCTTAGATTCAGATACTCCTTACAATGGGATGAAGCAAAGCAAAACCAAAACAAAACAAAGCCTCAATATGGTAATATGTGGTTTCACACGTCTGGCTCTCTTGGGCTTTGTTATGAGGAGAGGGGACCTGGAAACGCGAATGGTATTCCTCCGACTGGTCATTTTCGAGTCAGGGGTTTCCTGCATGCAACACTGAGAAATTCATTGGTGACGAGTGGATTGAGCGCGTAAAGTACTACGGAGGTTCATAAGTATCACAAATGTATTTTGATAACAACATTCACGAAAAGATGGCTTGTAAGGTTGTCTCGCATTAACAATAATAATAATCACATGGATCGGACGGAGATAGATGTCAAAACATAACTCAAATTATTGAATACTAATAAGTACCTAGGTATAGTAGTTTGATAGTTTCGGTACTCCATCAAACGTCATTATGTGACGGACGGATGTACCGGAGTACTGTACCGTTCTGTCCTGTTCTGCCCTGTACCGATCGCGAGCTGGTACATAGAATAGTTCATTCGAACTTTCCCGAACATCTGCATCGAACATGCCATCTTCCAAATGTTCTTACGAAACACTTTCTCATCATCAAATTTGGCTAACAGCATAGCCATGAACTCAAGCATATCCACTACTCGTGCTAATAATTGTTACAATGTTACATCGTATGCTCGGTGCTAGTTGGGCTCCTGGATGGCTCGGGTAGCTCGGGTAGGTAGGTACAACAGTGACATTTCGACCTTTCCGATGATTCTCTCTATACCGTACTAATAGAAAGGATGGCGATGGGTTAGATCTCGTGTACGATCGAACACGAGAAAGAAAACGACGGGAATTGGTGTACTTATATATCTTTCCAAGAAACACAATTGAATTGAAAGTATATTACTATTTTCCTTTGCTTTACATTACATTACAATTTCCAAGCAATAATACACGGCGTAACCCGTCCTTTCCACTGCTAATTGAATGGCGGTATGGTTGCCAATTTCCCTGAGGAGTTCTTTGTCGAAGGCGGGAAACCATCTTTCCCTACTAAATAGCTCAACTAATTTGAAAGACTATTGGGATCCACGCATGAAATTAGTTCTTCAACTTCTTC